GTATGCACTCACTAACTGTAACGGGGGGCCAGTATGAAAATGTATGCACTCACTAACTGTAAGTCGCTCTGGATAAGAGCGTCTGCTAAATGACTAAAAAGTAAATGTAATGTATCAAACCAGTTGCCGTGATACGTTTTCTGTTGTTGTGCACTCTCCTCAAACAATAGCATGCTATTTTATCACTGTAATAGCTACTGTAAATTGGACAGTGCAGTTAGATTAACAATAATTTAAGCTTTCTGCCCATATAAGACATGTCTATGTCCTGGAAAGTTTGCTGTTACTTACAACAGTCATGCTAATCACATTAGCGCACGTTAGCTCAACCGTCCCGTAGCTCAACCCCAGCAAAAATTGGCTTTTCATTTATGACTTTCATTCATCTGCATGTCCAGCTCTTATACCGTATTTAGCCTCACAATGAAGTGTTTTACCATTTGCTTTTCAGGTTAACCAGGGCTACAAGTAGAACACAAAACAATTTGACACAAACAGTTGCATTCATGAGTTTTATTGACAAATGTAAAAAAAATAAGTCTGCCAAACAAAAACCTGATAAAAATGAATTTACAGTTGAAGTCGGAAGTTTACATACACCTTAGCCAAATACATTTAAACTCAGTTTTTCACAATTCCTGACATTTAATCCTAGTAAAGATTCCCTGTCTTAGGTCAGTTAGGATCACCACTTTATTTTAAGAATGTGAAATGTCAGAATAATAGTAGAGAGAATTATTTATTACTTTCATCACATTCCCAGTGGGTCAGAAGTTTACATACACTCAATTAGTATTTGGTAGCATTGCCTTTAAATTGTTTAACTTGGGTCAAACGTTTCGGGTAGCCTTCCACAAGCTTCCCACAATAAGTTGGGGCGAATTTTGGCCCATTCCTCCTGACAGAGCTGGTGTAACTGAGTCAGGTTTGTAGGCCTCCTTGCTCGCACACGCTTTTTCAGTTCTGCCCACACATTTTCTATAGGATTGAGGTCAGGGCTTTGTGATGGCCACTCCAATACCTTGACTTTGTTGTCCTTAAGCCATTTTGCCACAACTTTGGAAGTATGCTTGGGGTCATTGTCCATTTGGAAGACCCATTTGCGACCAAGCTTTAACTTCCTGACTGATGTCTTGAGATGTTGCTTCAATATATCCACATACTTTTCCTTCCTCATGATGCCATCTATTTTGTGAAGTGAACCAGTCCCTCCTGCAGCAAAACACCCCCCTAGCATGATGCTGCCACCCCCGTGCTTCACGGTTGGGATGGTGTTCTTCAGCTTGCAAGCGTTCCCCTTTTCCCTCCAAACATAACGATGGTCATTATGGCCAAACGGTTCTATTTTTGTTTTATCAGACCAGAGGACATTTCTCCAAAAAGTACGATCTTTGTCCCCATGTGCAGTTGCAAACCGTAGTCTGGCTTTTTTATGGCGGTTTTGGAGCAGTGGCTTCTTCCTTGCTGAGCGGCCTTTCAGGTTATGTCGATATAGGACTCGTTTTACTGTGAATATAGATACTTTTGTACCTGTTTCCTCCAGCATCTTCACAAGGTCTTTTTGCTGTTGTTCTGGGATTGATTTGCACTTTTCGCACACCAAAGTATATTCATCTCTAGGAGACAGAACTCGTCTCCTTCCTGAGCGGTATGACGGCTGCGTGGTCCCATGGTGTTTATACTTGCGTACTATTTTTTGTACAGATGAACGTGGTACCTTCAGGCGTTTGGAAATTGCTACTAAGGATGAACCAGACTTGTGGAGGTCTACACATTTTTTTTTCTTGGATGATTTCTTTTGATTTTCCCTAAATGTCAAGCGAAGAGGCACTGAGTTTGAAGGTAGGCCCTGGAATACATCCACAGGTACACCTCCAATTGGCTCAAATTATGTCAATTAGCCTATCAGAAGCTTCTAAAGCCATGACATAATTTTCTGGAATTTTCCAAGCTGTTTAAAGGCACAGTTAACTTAGTGTATGCAAACATCTGACCCACAGAAATGTGTGGAGTGGTTGAAAAACGAGTTTTAATGACTCCAACGTAAGTGTATGTAAACTTCCAACTTCAACTGTATATGAATGCTGTACAGAAATGGTTTGCTCACTGGGAAATTAATATCCAACTAGTCAGTGACAACTGTGTGGAGTTTGGGACTTCAACTATGCAAGCTTATTACAGTATTATAGAGACTTTCCTATGATCTTCTATGTAGAAGAACCCCTTACCTTCTAACGACTCTAGAGTAGTTTGTGAACATCATAGAGCAAAACATGTTACATGTGCATGTTCGTGAGTCTCAGCTTTTCATAGGTACCTTTTAATAGTTTGTAGCTCCAACCATTCGGACTCTGCAGACGTTTTTGTATAAAAGACCCCAGGCCCCTTCGGGACCCGACTTTGTCTCACAAACACCTCTCTAGTTCAGCCCCCGTTAATCACACAAACTGGATGGTATCTACAGATGAAAAAGAAATAAACTAATCTAATGTTCCAACCCAGAAGTCTGTAGCTCAAACACACAATGTTTAAAAGGGGTTAGAAGTCCAAAACGCACCGGCGTTACGGTGGGACTCATTGGGTTAATCGAATCCCCTCAATGACAGTCATGTCAACCACTTCTTAGCCTTCTACCACACCCAAGCCATTTCTAGGGGGCCCCCAACCAAATTATTATTATTATTACATTTTTTAGGGAAGTAAGTCGGGTCTCACCTTACTGTTCGGAGAGTAGTAGAATACATAATGTGCAATTTCGAAATTTGGTAGTGCATCAGCAGTTTTCCTCTTGTTATGTCAGTCACTGACAGTCACTCAATTAGCCCATGTCAGTTAACATTTTATAGATTGCTAGATAAATTAGTCTAGCCTGCTATCTAAACTTTGTAGTAATCATGGCCAAATTACTGACCGGGCATGCAAGATATGTGTCCAGGGGCCCTGACCTCTAGATTTTGTTAGTCATATCATATGAACATGGCATAATGCCGTGTTCACGTGCTTGTCGGAACTTCCTATTTCCTAATTGTGATGTTGGAAATATGACTTATTTTCATTTATGTGCTTTCTGGTCGGAACAATTCTAATACAAACCAATACGATTTTTGCGAGCTTGATAAGTTAGCTAATGTTGCTAATAATAAAGTTAGCTAGTTGCTTAACATTGACAATATGGTAAAACTAGCTACATTATCTATATTGATAAGGTTGTAGTTGTCAAAAACTGATGTGATGTCATCTTTTGGTTGGAAGGTAAAAGGTAAGTGGTGAAACGTCAACTCAGGCCACAACATTTTCTCTGAGCTTCCCACTTGTAATTCCGACTTGGAGGGTCGTTCAAGTGAAACTTCCCAGTCGGAACTAGGAATTTCCAATAACTCTGATGGCATGTGAACATGGCATATGTCATGGCAAAATGTGTAGAATTGCAGGAAATTAGCTTTAAAACTGCAAAGTTTTCTCTCCATCCAATGGAATAATTAGTAGAATCGCATGAAATTTGTTTTAAAACTGTAAATGTTTCTCTCTGCCCGATGGACAAATGTGTAGAATTTCAGGGCAATAACTTTAAAGCTGCACATTTTTCTCTCTGCTGCCAAGAGGGGGGCACTAAAGTGTTTTGCGGGCCCAAAAAAGCTAGACAGCACATGTGTAATATATTCCCCTTGAAGGCAGGGGCCCTCTCATTGAAAGCTTTATGGGAGGAAGTGAACATTTCCCATATTAACAGTACAATCTTGGGCTATGGATACTGCTTGCCTGTTGCTTTGAGACTTGTCTTGTGAAAGCGGAGCCAAAAATGTGACAAAAATATATTATATACCTGTTTTTGCAACACAATGATACAACCAAAAGCAAGCAAAAAACCATTAGGGACTGATTTGTTCGTTAAAAATGTGTGGGGAAGAAAAAGACCAGTTATCTAAAAATATATAGGTCAATTATCATTTCTACAAACTTTCTATCTGGTGTTCGTTTTTTAATCCAAAATAATCATTAATATCGTATATACACTGAGTGTACAAAACATTAGACAGACTGACCAGGTGAATCCAGGTAAAAGCTATGATCCCTTATTGATGTCACTTGTTAAATCCACTTCAATCAGTATAGATGAAGGGGAGGAGAGGTTAAAGAAGGATTTTTAAGCCTTGAGACAATTGAGACATGGATTGTGTATGTGCATCATTCAGAAGGTGTTCCTAATATTCTTTACTCCCATCTAGTACCGGGTCGAACCCACCTTTGCCTCCAAAACAGCCTGAATTATTCGGGGTATGGATTCTATGTTCAGATACGCTGTGGCGTTCAAACGTTGCTCAATTGGACACCACCGCCACCAGCCTGTTCCATTGACACCAGGCAGGATCGCTCTCCCAGCCAAATGCAAAGAAACTCGTCCACGCATTCATCTTCTCCCGGATCGACTATGGCAACGCTTTGTTCGGGGGCCTTCCAGCCAAATCACTTGATGATACTTCTCCAGAACTTCTCCAGAATAGGGCTGCCAGAGTCCTGACCAGGACCAAGAAGTCAGCCCACATCACCTCCACCCTTACTGAACTCCACTGGCTACCGCTCCAGCAACTCACCACTTCTTCAAGTCCCGAAGACAATTCTCCGTACTGTGGGGGACCAGGCCTTCTGCTCCATTGCCCCTCGCCTATGGAATGCTCTACCTGACCATCTGAGAGCCACGCCATTCAATCAGAACTTAAAACGGGCCTTTCTTATAGTGCTAGTCTGGAAAGTCCTTTTATCACCTAGCCTACTGTTGCTATTTCCTGCCTTGATTCTAAATGTGTGATGTTTTTATATTTTAATTTTGTTATCATTCTTTTTGCAATGAAAAGTGCTATACAAATGAAATGTATGATTATTATTATTTATTATTATTATCCCCACAATAGATGTTGGTCCTAAACTGTGATCATCATACATACTCTTACACACAAATACAGTAAAACAGACACTGGAAATTAAGATAAATGAAACACCAAAAATAACATTCAAGACTCCTACTAATTATCACTATTGTCCCTATCAACCACAATGAAAACATTTACAACATTCTAAGTCCACATCAATGGGGCATTTTTGTTACACGAAAACAAATGGCAGTTTGTGGCATGTAAACATTATTTTGGCCAATATTGAATTACTTTAGTATCTTCATAATCTCCATACTGTATCTTAACTAACAAAGTCCAATAAAAATAAAATAAAATACTAAGAACTAATTATGCCTTCATTGTCTATGATGTGAAGCCAATAGGTTTTATCTGTGTATGGGCAATTATTAATATCAGGAATGAATCAGCAAGACTATAACAGTAAACCATCTCCAGGTAAGTTATACATTATTTATCATGACAGCATACTATCGAGTAGCATATCAAAATTGACATTCATTTGACCCACCTCCGTAAACGATTTAACCAAATGTATTTTGTATTTCAAACAAATCTTTCTCCAGAGAAACAATCCCACTGGGTAGCCTACCTAACTAGGTAGAAAACAAAACATTGCAAATATTCAGTAACAAAAACTCTTCCCACTCGTCCCAAATTACTTCCCATATCGAACCATGTTCTGGTTGTGTCAAGAGGGAAAATAACTAATAACAAAGAGTGGATTGTCCACAAAATGCCTGGTTCAGCAATTATTTCAAGTCTCGTTGGTTGTGCTGGCTGTTCCTGCCAGCTCCGGAATGCCACGACTGGTAGTGGGTCAAAATCCAAGGCTTCATTCTGATTGGTTTAGCTGGTCTTGGGAAATTGTTGGACTGTATGTGTGCGTCCGAGTATATTGTGGGACCATAGAGCTCCAACAACACATTAAAGCTAACTGAAACTGATTAATTGCTAAATTAATTTACACACGTATGCACACGCAAACACACATGAGCGCACACACACATGCGCAAACACACACACAGAGATTCACACACACAGAAAAAGCTGCCGGGCCTGCTAAGAGTGTGCAGGTAAGTCTTGCTGGTGACCAGGGGGTAGAGGTTGTCTGTCTCCTGGTAGTACTGGCAACGCTTGACCACCAGGGGGCACTGCTACTGTAGCTCCTCCATCTAAAGCACATCATCTTGTTTGAAACAGACGGGAAAATCCTAACTTACTCTTGAGTCAAATTTTCACTTTGTCTCCCATTGACATCAATGCTTGACTAAGTGAAAATTAGACTTAAGTGGAAGTTAGGATTCAACCAATGGTCATTATTCTTGTTGGCAATACTAGCCTATAATAGAGGATGTTCTTTCTGAAGGCAACTTGTACTGACCTTTGACCCCAACGGCCACATTTGCTTTTTCAGATTTTATTATCTGCATGTGTTCCACGGCCTGAGGACAAGAAAGACACAAGACGGAGATGTTATCCGACCCAAAAAACTGGGAGCGCGATGACCCAGTTCAAAAGTGTTTACCATAGACAAATTGTAGCTTAAAAGGTGCTCTCTTTTGTTTAGGGTGAGTCAATGTCACAGAATAAAGAGTCAAATTATGAGTCACTTATTTATTAAGTTAGTTACCCCTTTAATACTGAGCATATTTAATGCTACTGTGTCAAAGCTCGTCTGCTATGGGACTGCAGATGCATTTTGTGTCAAAAGGGTGCGTTAGCTGTTAATAGGTTGTTAGCTGTTAATTCGGACATTTTGTAAATGCTAACATTGATATGAGGTACTGTAGGTTACCTGCTGCAGTTCGGCTTTCTGGGCGTTGAGTTGCTCCTGCTGCCTTTCCAGCTCCTCTTTCTGTTTCTGCAGATCTACGTTCTTCTGGTTGAGGTTGCTCTCCTCCTGGGCCAGCTGCTCCTCAAACAACTTCATATCCTCGTCCGTGTACGCTGGGGCCTGCTCCAGAGTCTGGAGAGGAGAAGACGTGGAGAGAGGAGAGGAGGGGAGGGGAGAAACAGAGAAGGAGAGGAGAAAGAGAGAAGGGTAGAAGCTCCATTATTGCGTTGCTTCTCAGGCTTAGGGTCAATAGCATTCAGTTCCTATTGACCACTTCAGGCTACAGCAGGAAACCACACTGAGGTGGTGGTAGTTGCCTGTCCCTTACTTCCCAGCTGTCTGGCTCTTGGAACTCTTTCTTGTTTGTGGAGATCAGGAACTCATCCAGGGAGACCAGTCTGTCCTTGTTGGTGTCCACCTGAGTACAGATGAAAGGAAAGAAACATCAGGAAATAGGTTGACTGAAGAAGCAGTGTTGATTTTGTGTGTGTGTGTGTGTGTGACTCAGTGACTCCATCCTGCTAGCTCACCTCATTCATGACGTGTTCCCTCATGCGCAGTCTCTCCTCCTCCATCTCTGTCATGTCATCCTCTTCTAGATTGGGGCTGTACATCTTCTCCAGCTACAAAACACACACGGATTTCAACTCTGTGCCTGCTCGAGTTACAACACACGCATGCACACACACACACACACACTCACGCATACACACACACCTCTTTAGTGAACAGGGCTTCAAGCTCCTGCTCATCAATGTAGCCATCTCCGTTGGTGTCTGCAAAAAGAGAGAAAATAAAATGGCTTCAATAAAAAAGTTTTTAATTGGATAATTTCTTAATAGGGTCCATTGTGATTGGTGTGTAATTTGAGAATGTGAGACAAGATAATTTGATTAGGCTTTTGTTCAGTGTTTTGAACCTGTGAATGGCTTCTGGTGTGAGCTTACCGTGGAGTTTGAAGAAGGTCTTGGGGTCAAAGTCATTTGGGTCCAAACCGTCAGACTCCTTCCAGACTTCTTTCAGCTGGTCCTGACTGCCCTACACACACACACACACACACACACACACACACTTCACTTTAAAGACTTTAGTAGTACAGTTTACACTGTATATGGGTATTTCTATAAACTAGGGTACCAGTGAGGATTTCATATGCCAGACAACTTGTTATTGATAATAATCAGCATTTTTGTTCATGTAATTACATTTATATATAAGGGGGTAACATAGCTAGCTACATTCAATAAAATTCACGCGTTGATTTAAAACCTATGTTTAATCTTTTCTCATGGTTGGTGTCTTGACGGATTTGTCCGAAATCGTGTAACATAAAGCATTACTTTTCGGTCCTTGCATTTATAGAATTGTAAGTTGGCTTTATATAATATTTTAAGCATGAATCAGTTAAATTAGAAATTGAACTTGAACCCTGTAAGAATCTTTGCGAAAGTATTCACCCCCCTTGGCATTTTTCCTATTTTGTTGCCTTACAACCTGGAATTAAAATTGATTTTTTGGGGGGGTTGTATCATTTGATTAACACAACATGCCTACCACTTTGAAGATGCAAAATATTTTTTTGTGCAACAAACAAGAAATAAGACAAAAAAACTGAAAACTTGAGCGTGCGTAACTATTTACCCCCCCAAAGTCAATACTTTGTAGAGCCATCTTTTGCAGCAATTACAGCTGCAAGTCTCTTGGGGTATGTCTCTATAAGCTTGGCACATCTAGCCACTGGGATTTTTGCCCATTCTTCAAGGCAAAACTGCTCCAGCTCCTTCAAGTTGGATGGGTTCCGCTGGTGTACAGCTATCTTTAAGTCATACCACAGATTCTCAATTGGATTGAGGTCTGGGCTTTGACTAGGCCATTCCAAGACATTTAAATGTTTCCCCTTAAACCACTCGAGTGTTGCTTTAGCAGTATGCTTAGGGTCATTGTCCTGCTGGAAGGTGAACCTCCGTCCCAGTCTCAAATCTCTGGAAGACTGAAACAGGTTTCCCTCAAGAATTTCCCTGTATTTAGCGCCATCCATCATTCCTTCAATTCTGACCAGTTTCCCAGTCCCTGCCGATGAAAAACATCCCCACACCATGCTTCACTGTGGGGATGGTGTTCTCGGGGTGATGATAGGTGTTGGGTTTGCGCCAGACATAGCGTTTTCCTTGATGGCCAAAAAGCTCAAATTTAGTCTCATCTGAACAGAGTACCTTCTTCCATATGTTTGGGGAGTCTACCACATGCCTTTTGGCGAACACCAAACGTGTTTACTTATTTTTTTCTTTAAGCAATGGCTTTTTTCTGGCCACTCTTCCGTAAAGCCCAGCTCTGTGGAGTGTACGGCTTAAAGTGGTCCTATGGACAGATACTCCAATCTCCGCTGTGGAGCTTTGCAGCTCCTCCAGGGTTATCTTTGGTCTCTTTGTTGCCTCTCTGATTAATGCCCTCCTTGCCTGGTCCGCAAGTTTTGGTGGGCGGCCCTCTCTTGGCAGGTTTGTTGTGGGGCCATATTCTTTCGATTTTTTAATAATGGATTTAATGGTGCTCCGTGGGATGTTCAATGTTTCTGATATATTTTTTTAACCCAACCCTGATCTGTACTTCTCCACAACTTTGTCCCTGACATGTTTGGAGAGCTCCTTTGTCTTCATGGTGCCGCTTGCTTGGTGGTGCCCCTTGCTTATTGGTGTTGCAGACTCTAATGCCTTTCAGAACAGGTGTATATATACTGAGATCATGTGACAGTTAGATTGCACACAGGTGGACTTTATTTAACTAATTATGTGACTTCTGAAGGTAATTGGTTGAACCAGATCTTATTTAGGGGCTTCATAGCAAAGGGGGTAAATACATATGCACGCACCACTTCCGTTATTTATTTAGTAAAATTTTTTGAAACAAGTACTTTTTAAAAATTTTTGGACTATTTTGTGTATGTCCATTACATGACATCCAAATAAACATCCATTTAAATTACAGGTTGTAATGCAACAAAATAGGAAAAACGCCAAGGGGGATGAATACTTTTGCAAGGCACTGTAGCCGTCTGACAGTTCTTTTGTATAGAGATCTCAGAAATGCAGTGTAACTACGTAACATTTCGTGTCTCCATACGTTACGGGGTGAAAACAGTTTTCATGTGCACACAATTCCCCCAAAATGTTTGCAATTGCAAAATCAAATGCTTCTAACCGAAGAAGTCACCTTACCTTGATACGTAAAACCTAAATCAATACTTAACATTCTTCAATAATTAAGGACAGATACAAATTGACTGGGGGCGGGGTGGTCCAAAATAGGGGAGGGTTGTTAATTTTTTATATTTTTTTGCTTTGGGGAGGGTTGTGTGTTTTTTTTATTGGGCACAGGGGAGGGTAGTGCGTTTTTTCCCTGGTTTACATTTGCTCTTCTGCTCGTATTTTCCCTATAAACACTAGTTTAGAAACGTTTGTGAAGGTTTGGTATGGTGTGGCTATTTTATTAAGCTTTAGCTACTGCAGGCATATCATATGAAGGCGCTCCAACTGACTCTGACAGTTGAACTTGAGGTGAGGAAGACTGTTTCAGAGGCTCAGGCTTACCAAAGTTACTTCTATAATCTAACACTATAATGCTTATCTTTATAAAAAATATATTCTTATTAAAAAATTATGTATTAGCCTCCTTCTGTATGTCAATATCTGTATAGCAGATGCAGTAGCCACCGGCATATCTCTCTCTCTCTCTCTGGGGTTAGGCCTAAGCTTATTTCTCTTTATATAGGCTCTCTCTATATATATATATATATTTATAAAAATATGAATATCATACAGTGGACACCTAAGCCTAAAGGCCTATGCATGCAATGCCCTGATACATTTAGTACTCAAATCTCTGACAGCTGAACCTAGAGGTGGACAATTGTTATTTTAGAGGGGGGGGAATGTTGCTAATATGTTTTGCATATGCTACACATCGAAACACACGGAATAGTGATTTTGTAATTTGTTATAGCTGTTTTCATCCTCCACGGGACGGTTGAGCTAACGTGCGCTAATGTGATTAGCATGACTGTTGTAAGTAACAGCAAACTTTCCAGGACATAGACATGTCTTATATGGGCAGAAAGCTTAAATTCTTGTTAATCTAACTGCACTGTCCAATTTACAGTAGCTATTACAGTGAAAGAAAGACCATGCTATTGTATGAGGAGAGTGCACAACAACAGAACACGTATCACGGCAACTGGTTTGATGCATTCACCTCTGAAGGTAAATAATGTACTTACATTCAGTAATCTTGCTCTGATTTGTCATCCTGAGGGTCCCAGAGATAAAATGTAGCATAGTTTTGTTTGATAAAATCCATTTTTATATTCAAATGTTTGAACCCTCAGTTTGAACCCCTGCTGTCTCTGGCTCCACACCCACCCCGCCCGGCCATCTAGATGTGTGAAAGTTAGTGTATAAGCTAATGATCCATCATGTATGACATTCCTGGGAGTGTGTAAACTTACTTATTTTGTATTACCATATCATTTTTGTATGTTCTCTATAGTTATATACTTGAAAATGTATAAATTGACCAATTCAGCACATTTGGGCAGACTTGATACAAAATAGTCCAGTATTGCAATGCTTCAGTGGATCAATCTGAAACTTTGCACACACACTGCTGTCATCTAGTGGCCAAAATCTAAATTGCGCCTAAACTGGAATATTATATTGTGGCCTTTCTCTTCATTTCAAAGATGTATTATATTTTACCAGATCTAATGTGTTATATTCTCCTACATTTCCACAAACTTCAAAGTGTTTCCTTTCAAATGGTATCAAGAATATGCATATCCTTGCTTCAGGTCCTGAGCTACTGGCAGTTAGATTTGGGTATGTCATTTTAGGCGAAAATTGAGAAAAAAAAAGGGTCCGATCCTTAAGAGGTTAATGTGGCTCATTTGGCCAACATCCCTCGTTTAATGATGGCGCTGGCTGCGCCAGGTCAGATCTGAACGCATATGGATGTCCGGTAAATTTCTCAAATGTCCGGTAAATGAAGGTCTTCCCTGTCATGTTGTCCGGCGCCAAATTTTCCTAAAGGAAACTCTGAAATGGCATATCGTTTTTATGAAAAATATTCACCAATTGGATGGAAACCTAGCTATAGACACCCTAAAGACTCTGGCAAGTGCGCTAGTCCAGTGACACTTTGATTATACCTGCACATTATGGTTCACCAGCAGCCCCAAACATCTAAAGAACAAGCTACCAGCCAAACAAGCTTGTAAGAATTGTACTTAAACTCCCCCCTCATACACATCTGGAGGTTGAGCATTTTTTTTTTTTTTACTATTTCCTTTTTTATTTAGCAAACATTTGTCTTACTTTTTAACTCTGGACTGTTGGGAATGCGCTCGTAAGTAAGCATTTCACTGTAAAGTCTACACCGGTTATATTAGGCGTATATGACCAATGACATTTTATTTGATCGTCCGTTTTTTTCTATCACAGCCATTCAACTCTGTAACTGTTTTAAAGTCACCATTGGCCTCAAGGTGAAATCCCTGAGCTGTTTCCTTCCTCTCCGGCAACTGAGTTAGGAAGGACGCCTGTATCTTTGTAGTGACTGGGTGTATTGATACACCATCCAAAGTTTAATTAATAACTTCACCATGCTCAAAGGGATATTCAATGTCTTTTTTTTTTTTTTTACCCATCCAATAGGTGCCCTTCTTTGTGAGGCATTGGAAAACCTCTCTGGTCTTTGTGGTTGGATCTGTGTTTGAAATTCACTGCTCGACCGAGGGACCTTACAGATAATTGTATGTGAGGGGTACAGAGATGAGGTAGCCATTCAAAAATCATGTTAAACACTATTATTTGCACCCAGAGTGAGTCCATGCAACTTATTATGTGACTTGTTAAGCAAATGTTTACTCCTGAACTTATTTAGGCTTGCCATAACAAAGGGGTTGAATACTTATTAACTCAAGACATTTCAGCTTTTCATTTTTAATTAATTTGTAAAAATGTCAAAAAACATATTTCCACTTTGACGTTATAGGGTATTGTGTGTAGGCCAGTGACAAAAAATTCAGGCTGTAACACAACAAAATGTGGAAAAGGTCAAGGGGTGTGAATACTTTCTGAAGGCACTGCATAGTCCTAGGCCTATGTTGTTGTATAGGTGGAGTTATGGGCCAATTTGCATATATTCCTCTAAATATACATGTGGAACTGCATAAAAATATGTTTTACTTTAGTTTCAAACCATTTTGAAATGTTTATCCCAATGTCACACATTGGCCCCATTATTTATAGAAAGACCCATGTACAGTAACAGGGTCTTTCTTAGTATTAGATTAGTTCACTGTAAATTCCTACAGGGTGGTTAATTTCTAGCCTGGTCCTAGATCTGTTTGTGCTGTATAGCCAACTCATATGGTATAGGTCTACAGCACAAAAAGGCTAGTTCATTTGGGGTTCAATCATTTGGGGTTTAATATCACTGAAATATCTTAGAGGGTGGTTGATTATCAAGGTAAATGTCTTACATGGTGATTCATTTTGGGTTTAGTCATAGTGTCATTGTAAATGTCCAATAGGGTGGTTGATTTGGGGTTTAGTTACTGTATTCGTGTTTCCGCCCAACCCTTTTTATGCGAATAAAGTGGCTGTTGGATAAAACATTTTTACAACAGGCCTGATGGAAACAGCAAATTGTCTGTAAACTTTCCTAAATATTGACAAAAGAAAATATGCTCGACGGGTGGATTATTTTTTTTGTCGGTGAAACGTATCATGCAACAAATTGGCAGTGGAAACTATGTTTTGCGCAATTGTTGATAGAAAAGGCCTAAACATCATGTTGCAGTAAATTTGCAGTCAAGCAATGCTATGTTGTGTGGTCCTCCCACTGCAACTTGGAAAAGCATGCACAGTTTATAAGGCTATAGATTAAATAAGTTATAATGTTATGATGAACTTCACAGGGTGGTGAAAGTGCATGGTGATGAACTTGATGCTCCTTTGAATAAATATAGAGGGTTTAATTATGGTATCATTGGAAAAGTCTTCGTGTTAAGTTATAGTATCAGGGTAAATGTCTTACAGGGTGGTTGATTTGGGGTTTAGTTATAGTATCAGGGTAAATGTCTTACAGGCTGGTTGATTTGGGGTTTAGTTATAGTATCAGGGTAAATGTCTTACAGGCTGGTTGATTTGGGGTTTAGTTATAGTATCAGGGTAAATGTCTTACAGGGTGGTTGATTTGGGGTTTAGTTATAGTATCAGGGTAAATGTCTTACAGGGTGGTTGATTTGGGGTTTAGTTATAGTATCAGGGTAAATGTCTTACAGGGTGGTTGATTTGGGGTTTAGTTATAGTATCAGGGTAAATGTCTTACAGGGTGGTTGATTTGGGGTTTAGTTATAGTATCAGGGTAAATGTCTTACAGGGTGGTTGATTTGGGGTTTAGTTATAGTATCAGGGTAAATGTCTTACAGGGTGGTTGATTTGGGGTTTAGTTATAGTATCAGGGTAAATGTCTTACAGGGTGGTTGATTTGGGGTTTAGTTATAGTATCAGGATAAAAGTCTTACAGGGTGGTTGATTTGGGGTTTAGTTATAGTATCAGGGTAAATGTCTTACAGGGTGGTTGATTTGGGGTTTAGTTATAGTATCAGGATAAATGTCTTACAGGGTGGTTGATTTTGGGTTTAGTTATAGTATCAGGATAAATGTCTTACAGGGTGGTTGATTTCGGGTTTAGTTATAGTATCAGGATAAATGTCTTACAGGGTGGTTGATTTTGGGATGGTCTGCGTGTTTCTTCCTCAGCTCTTCGTAGTGCTGCTCCTCGTCTTTGCGATGCTCCTCATCGAGGTTCTTCAGGTGCTCCTTCCTCTTGTGGTCCTTCATCATCTCGTACCTCTTAAACTCCTCGTGCCGCTCCTTATCATAGTTTTCCAGGTCACTGGTAGCCTATATATCAACCATGAAAAGGAGAGAATGAGAACTGAACAAATGAAAACAAAAGCACAATTTAAATTCAACCCCTAGCCTTAGATACTTCTGAAAAGGCTTTAGATCTGGGTAGATATGGAATTGAGCAAAATAAATACTATTTAAGCCCATTATTCTGTGTCAGAGATTAGTTATCCATGCACCTGGAGGGATTTCAAACCAATAACAAATGTGGATAGAGACTATTATAGAAGAGACTGAGAAATATGTGACATGCTCTTGATGATTAGTTTTAAGTGCAAATTATATTAGTTCACATAACATCACTGATTTCAGACTCATCAGTTAGAAGTAGCACGGTACCAAAGGATTCTCATTAGGCGCTGGAAAGGTCAGAGTTCAAAATGAAATCACTTTTAGTTCAGTGTAAATGTGCAAAATAGTCTTAATTCAGATATTAAGAAAAACAGGAACTAGGTTTGCGTCCTTCTTTACCAAGGAGAAATCCTGAATTTTCAAGTTTAGTTCACACACAACCCCAGGCTCTCTCTCAACTGTCAAAGCTGATTTGGGCATTTACCTCTGGCAAGCCAGCTCTCTCCAACAAAGGACAAATAGCTCAGAATGCTTCAATGCCTCTGTGTAATTACATCTACAAGTGAAAGCTCAGGTTTGTTAATAGCAACAAAAACATTAATTTGTTCACCACGGATAAAGAGGAGCAAAACCTTTGAGCAAAACCCAACAAAAAGGCATTAAAAAGGTAATTCAAAGACCTCTATAGGTCAAATCGACTATATAAAACATCCTGGGGACACTGTCATCCTCTAAACGTTTTTCCATGGTCTAACATCACCAGATAGAGAACATGTACGTGGCGTGCATGGTTAGGATGAACTTTCCAATACATTTGCTATTCAAACAACAAGTTAGCTTCAAGGCTATAACCCCTTTGGGCTGTTGGCTCAAAATGGATGTCCTAGTTCACCAGAGTTTAAAAGTTATTTTATGCTTATTCATTCAAGAGGCATCAAGTGCAGAGCAAACATTTCAGCTGTAAGGCCATTGTCAGTGTGTGAACTTTTAAATTCTCTTTTTGGTCCATGAACCACAAGTTCTGAGCAGGGTGGTTTCAAGAAGCGTTGTGTGGCCATTTTAAACATTGCATCATGGTGTAGTGTGTGCATAAACAACATTCCTACTGATTTAATAAGCTTATCCAGGTCCTCCACTTCGAAGGTGTGTGGGTTCATGTGGTTCATGTACTCAAACTGCTTGAGCAGCGCCTTGTGGTTCATTTCTGGGGGGGAAAAGGAGAGAAGGTTCCTATTAGGAGGGAAACTAATACTGTACGTTTTAAGTGGTTACAAGTTGCTTGCTGACAACTGCTGCCAAAATGTATGTGCATACTTTATATAATGAGGTAATTGTGTAGTTACAGCTCAAATGTATCCACAATTTAATCATTGTAATTAATTATGTGTTTGTAATAAATTATAGTGACCTTTACTCTAGAATATTGTACATTAAAATCCCCTCTTAACAATAATAAACTAGTCACTCAACACCTCTTTTGAATGATAACACCAAGCAGTTATTGATATTGTGGATATTGGACAATGATTGTGCTAAAAATTCACAAGCAGTTGAGAGATTGTTTTGATGACTGACTCTCGACCGCACGTTTGCTTTGGCGGTGACCGCAGCCAGGTATTTCTGGCAGTCCCAATATAAGCATGGTCTTGTTTGAGTGCAAGACCATGCTTGTTAGTAGTACCTCAACCCCTCTTCCAAAATGTGTCAATATGGACCTTTCACAACATGTGACACGTTCCTATTTACTTGCACAATAGCCTCAAGGCACTTCCATTTTCCTATGTGACGAACTATATCAAGCTTAGGATGTTGGTGGTGCATTGCATCATATGTCCTGTCAAGTGGACAAATGTTCCTGCTGATAGTATGGCTGCCAGTTGGACAGGAAAGGACATATTTGAACAACAGACCAGCGTACCATGCCCTCCCTCAACGTCTTGTTTAGTTTTGATGAGCGTCCGTAGCCTGTTCACCTCCTGCCTCTTCAACTCGTCGAGTTTGGTCCTCACGTGATGGCCGACAAAGTCCAGCTCTTTGGCCAGCTTGCCTTGCTGCTCAGAAACAAAAGCAACCAGAGATTTTCGAGTGGCCAATAACAATAAATGGAAACCGACCAGAAGTCCAGCTGGGTCATGTTCATTAGGGCATGCAACGAACAGTTAAATGTTTTGCAACAGAAAATTAAAATGAGTATTTCTTATTGGACAAGTCCGAGTAGTCCCTCGCTGTTTGTCAGTTTGTTTTTGTCCGTTTGTTGCCTAATGAACATGACCCTGCAAATGCTGTAGCTGCTGGGGTACCTTAATGTCCTCCATGTCTGTATTGTGGAGCTTCTCTCTGAAATGCTGGTCCTTCTCCAGGAAATCAATGACTTCCCTAAGGTAGCGGTCATAGTGAAGCCCGGTGTCCTGAAACAAAAAAACAGTCCAAATCCACATTGTAGTGCGTAAGTGGGACAGAGATGAAATGGGAGGGGTTTACATTGGATTAATGTGGCCTAGGTCTAAACCTCCTTCAATTTCCTGCAGCCCAAATTGATGATAAGTACTGCAACACACACTCCACTCACCACACTCTGTGGCGCCTCCAGTTTCTGCTCTGGGGTTTCCACTTTAGTCTTGTCCACAGCAATGGGCACTGCTTCCACACAGAACCACAGGCTCAGGATGAGCACAGCGCAGAGGCAGAAGGCTTTACTCCAAAACATCTGTGTACACAGGAGAACATCACCAGCCTATGGTTAATAAGTGGCTACATCAACAGCTGCTTCAAGGGAAAGTACACAGCAGAACATCACCAGGCTAAGGTTTATTGGCTACACAACAGCTGCTTCAAGGGAAAGTACACAGCAGAACATCACCAGGCTAAGGTTTATTGGCTACACAACAGCTGCTTCAAGGGAAAGTACACAGCAGAACATCACCAGGCTAAGGTTTATTGGCTACACAACAGCTGCTTCAAGGGAAACTATGAGAAATTGCTGATGGTCAAACAGACAAATGTCATATTTCACAGTTGGTAAAATGAAATAACACTAATCTATTTTTCACAGACATAAAATGGCAAGATGTACAGCATCTGTTTGAGCCTATAGGTACATAATTGATATTGCCAGTTGCCAATGGAGCTCTTTATGTATATAGGGTATATTACATTCCTAAATGTTTCATATGTTTATAGTGTACTATTATTCAGTAAACATCACCTTCTTACAGTAAGCTCACTGGCCTGGGAAATGGGCCATTGCTTTTGGAACCAGTGAACCCACACCCACTCCTCCCTATTGACCAATGTGTTGACAAGTAAAATGTTAAACCAGTTTAATCTCAATCTCCACAGTAACCTCCCCACCAAAAGAAAACAGTGGCGATTGTGCCACTCACGTGTCTGTGGGATAAACCAGGGGGTGTTTTCAGCAGGACACAACGTTTTGGAACGTTCAGATATAAATATGTTATGTAGAACAAAAATGCCTCTCCGACATGTAAAACAAGGCATCATGTCGGCTCTGTTCAAGGCAATTCTATCTGCAACGTTCGACAACGTTTGGTAACTGAACGTGGCCCAGTTCTCGTGGGCTTTGACACCTGAAAGAGAACCTTGTCAACCTGTTTAGGTAGAACTTCTTGACACGACCACATCAGCAGCAGCATCCAGTAGTTTTTAACCTGTTGTTACATCTATTATCTAACTATCTCATTTTACCAGGTCCCTTTTGTGGGTCTTTCTTGATAATATTCTTGATAATAAATGAGCTCTGCTATATGTGTAAGAAATACAGGAAACAGCATAATAACTACTGAAGTGTCGAACAAGTAGGCTGTGGATAGATGATGCATGCTGCATGATGATGCAAGTCGGATTTCCCTTCAACTGGCAATGTCCAACTACTGAATTGTCATTTGCCATAATATCATTATAATAAACATGTCATTTAAAAGCTAAGAGAAACAGAAACTTACTTTGACAGCTGCCCCTTTTCCGTTATTTTCTGTCACGTTACGCTTTTGAAACGTTAATTCATCCAAACGTTAAAAAGACTGGAGTCTGTTTTCAGCTGTCATGCACTTTACACCGGCCAGAGCCTCTTCCAAACCAGTGTGGTCGTCACTAGTTACCACAGTCACAGAGTCATAATTATGGCTAAACACCGCCTATTTATAAAAAATTGTTTGGTTCTTAATATCTGATTTTTAAGCTAACCCAACCCATAACCTTACCCACCCTACTAACCTTATGTCCAACCCTAACCTTAAATTAAGACCAAAAAGCAACAACAAAAATCATGAATTTTTATTTTTATGGATGTGGTAACTAGTGACAACCCTTCCTATTAATAAGATCAACCTAACAGCTAATTGCCATGGGAACGCCCCACCCTCAACTATCCTCATAGGGTAGAAATATTCTCTTCGCGTTGTAAAATAGTCGCATTGGCAGCCAGTTGGGCAGAAGGTGTGTCAGTCAAACTGTTCCTCAAATGTGTTGGTCAAGGTGCTATAGAGCTTAAATGTACGTGGCGTTTACAAACCTGTGTGAACCAAGAACAAATATGGTTTAGTATGAATATATGAAATCCACGATCACGTTTGTAGGTGATGGGCGTATTCGAGCGGATCACCGCCTTTCAAAGTGTGTTACATTAAATAAAATAAAATCAAAGTTTATTGGTTGCGTACACAGATCTGTAGATGTTAACGTAGGTGCAGCAAAATGCTTATGTTTCTAGCTCCAACAGTGCAGTAACATCTAGCAATACAATGACAATACACACATAATCCAAAGTTTAAAAAAAGAAAGATATTAAGACATATCAGAATGAGCAATATCAGAGACCGGAATATAAATATATATATTTACATTTGACATTTTAGTCATCTAGCCGACGCTTTTATGCAGATCTACTTGCAGTTTGTGCATTCATCTTAAAATAGCTAGGTGGGAAAATCACATCACAGTCATAGTAAGTAGATTTTTTCTATCAGAAAAGTCAGCGCTAGTAAGGGGTAAAAAAGTCAAGTGTGAGTGTTAGTTTACAAAAAGGCATTATGTATTGTATTTTTTCGGGGTTGGGAAGGGGGGTAGAGGAGGGGGTGTGCGTCGGGGTGCTGTGGAAAAATGTAAGATACTCTTCGAAGAGGTTGGGTTTCAGATGTTTTCAGGAAGATGTTCAGGGACTCTGCTGTCCTAGCTTCAGGGGGAAGCTGCTTCCACCATTGGGGTGCCAGGACAGAGAAGAGCTTGGACTGGGCTGAGCGGGAGCTGCCCTCCCGTAGGGGTGGGAGGGCCAAGAGACCAGAGTACTCTGAGAATATGGTGTGTATTGACATTATGGACAGTATATGAATAGAAAAGTACATCAGTATTTATATAGGATGAGTCATGACTAGAATACAGTATGTACATATAAAGTGGGTAAAACGGTATGTAAACATTAGTAGAGTGACTGGTGTTCAATGACTCTATGTACAGCACATAGGGCAGCAGTCTCTAAGGTGCAGGGTAGAGTACCGGGTGGTAGCCGGCTAGTGATGACTGTTTAACAGTCTGATGGCCTGGAGATAGAAGCTGTCTCTCGGTCCCAGCTTTGATGCACCCTGTCTCCGCCTTCTAGATGGTAGCGGGGTGAACAGGCCGTGGCTCGGGTGGCTAAAGGTCCTTGATGATCTTCTTAGCCTTCCTGTAACACCGGTACTGTAGATGTCCTAGAGAGCAGGCAGGTTGTGGGCGGGCGGTGCAGTTGCCATACCAGGCGGTGATACAGCCCGACAGAATACTCTCGATGGTGAATCTGTAGAAGTTAAGGGTTTATCATAGTCCAGAACGTGTATGCGTATGCACAGTAGTGTTCTAGAATATTGGACTGTTGGCTTTCATACTTTTCTCATTCTCAGCGCAGCTCAAGCAATTTCTCCAACTGGCAACACATTCAAATGAATAGAGGAAGCATACCGGAGCTGCGTTGATTGGGAATTGTGGCGGGCAAGGTGTGCGTTCGGGCTGTGCGACTTCGGGCCGATGGTGGTCTCAGAGCCAAGTAGATATGTCACAGTGGGTCACCGGACTATCGCGTCTCAGCATCTGTTTGATTTAAGCTTTATGGTTATAAAAATTGTTCGACTTGCACCAACAACATGTCGACTGGGGCGGCAGGTCGGAGGTAGTTTTGTGCAAACAAAAAAAGGGGTTAAATATGTGTCCGAAAAACAATAATATTTCCTGAGCTTTCTTATATCTCCTAGATATAGGACAGACAATTCCTTATGATTTATTTTTTGACTGTCATTTTTTTTGTTGCCATTTATGAATGTGTTATTCAATGTGTTTCTATGGGCTATAGTAGTAAAGGCCAAATTCAACATTTTATCACTTTTTTCTTTAATATATACAGGGGTCCTAAAATTCTAAATAAAATAGCTAAATGATCCATGGTATGACCATCTTAAAACTATTCCATATATTAGCTTACTAAAACAACACATTTCACTGCACCTATCCGGTGTATGTGACAATATAAAAATAAATCATACATAAAAAAGACTGCATGAACTTTACAAAAATCATGCGATCAAATACAAAGGTCATGAAGTTTTTACTGCAGTCGACTGAATGTTTCTGCAGTTACTTTTCGCCAACTTCATCTTGCAGCCATGGCCTGCATTGTGGGAGGTTCTATTGTCAACCAATCATTCTTTTTTTTTTTTACCCACGCAAACATGATCAAAGACATGACTGGAACAGGAACAAACTTCACCGGGGGTTGGAGACATAGAAAGAAAGAAAAACTTTTATAAACAATGTCAACACTGCCATGTTGATCTGGGCCTTGCTATTGGATAACCACATTAGTGTCCGACTTTCGGCTGTCGCAGTTGCACATCCCCCAAAGTCACTCCTCGACTTTCGTCTACAGTCGGTTGCTTGAGCCTTACCACTCAAATGTGCCCGGTGTCATGGTGACATTGGCTAGCTAAGCTCATGCGCAGAAACACGCCATCGGGTCTAACGATTGTCTCTCGCCCAACTGCGCATGTGCAGGCCATCAAATCAATGGTAGCGTTCCCCTGCTCAGACGTTGTATGCATCAACCAATGGTTGTGTGCCACGTCATCGACTGTGTCATTGACTGAAAGATTGCTATAACATATGACATGGTTAGCTGATACGTAAAATACCATCCAGGCACCTAAAAAATTAGAGGGCACAAAGTAACTTGCGTGAGGATGGCTGGGGGTGGTCTGAAGGGGGTCTAGGCCCCCGTCCGGAAGTTGGAGAATTTAGCATTTTTAAAACACCTGAAACTGCTTTTTCCTGTAATCTAGAGCCATTATCATTATGCTTAATTCTATGTAAAGAATATGTCTATTTTTCTGCATATGTAAGCATACCTCTTAAGATGTCTGTATCCTCCTGACTGGTGGTTCTTTTTTTAAAGAAACCAACTGCTAAAATATTGTAAGGAATGTGAGTCTTATTCAGTACATTTAGTTATTGCTTGCTTTTATAAAGTCTACCAACCTTGCCAGCAGGCATGCCAGCTAAAATAGTTAGACAAGCTAGCTACTCTAACTTGATTGTTAGCCTGAAATGGCTTCTTGGTAGATACAGTTGAAGTCGGAAGTTTACATACACCTTAGCCAAATACATTTAAACTCAGTTTTTCACAATTCCTGACATTTAATCCTAGTACAAATTCCCTGTCTTAGG